TTTGGCGCTCTCTCTCTTTCTCTTTCTCTCTCTCTCTCTCTTTTAAAGTCTTTTTAAAATACTGAAAACATCTCCAGGCAGAGATGAGAGGTGGGGTTTATGATGCCACAGTGGTTGGCCAATCGGCACTATACACAGTTGGAATTTTCAATAAAATGGCACAGCTGGTTTATTCGTTTGTTCAAAAGCATTTCTAAACTGTTAAATGCTTTAACAAATCCCCAAGCAGTGCACAAAAATGACATCAAAATAATGTAACAGCATAATAAAAACAGTATAAAAACAGACTCATTTTATGGCTCAGGGAAAACCCGGGCAAAAGGATCTGTATTCATAAGATGTATGAAGCAATTCACAAATGTTTGGCAGATGGAAGGGCATTATTCCACACCAGATAATTCCCTTTTGGGGGTCACCACCCTATGGTATTCTGCAGGGTGCAGAGCCACAAACAAAATTTCCCCAGATGATCTGATATTACAGATCTCTATAGGGACAGGTGGTCTTTCAGGTAAGCTGAGCTCAGCTTTGTGGGCTCAGCAACTTTGGGTTCCTTCTCTCATTGAACTGCTTCCGTTTCAGCTGATCATTAGAATACCTTGTACATAAAAGCTACTGCTTGAGCTTGTTTTTTTCCTCTCCCCCTCCCGATCATTTTCCTTTTATGTCGTGTCTTTTTCGACTATAACCCTGAGGGCTGGGAAGGTTTTGGTTTTTATAGCTTTGTAAGTCTCTCTGAGAGGGACGCGGGTGGTGCTGTGGGTTAAACGACAGTGCCTAGGACTTGCCGATCAGAAGGTCGGCAGTTCGAATCCCCATGACGGGGTGAGCTCCCGTTGCTCGGTCCCTGCTCCTGCCAACCTAGCAGTTCGAAAGCACGTCACAGTGCAAGTAGATAAATAGGTACTGCTCCGGCAGGAAGGTAAACGGCGTTTCCGTGCGCTGCTCTGGTTCGCCAGAAGCGGCTTAGTCATGCTGGCCACATGACCCGGAAGCTGTACGCCGGCTCCCTCGGCCAATAAAGCAAGATGAGCGCCGCAACCCCAGAGTCGGCCACGACTGGACCTAATGGTCAGGGGTCCCTTTACCTTTTTAAGCATCTCTGAGAGCCTTTCAAGGGGTGGGAAATGGGATAAAAAGGTGTTTAAAACATAAATTTGTATCTGAATGGGCCATTCCATTCACTTCTGTGGGGGAGGGGAAGGGAATCCTTTCCACACATGATCGGCATACCACTTCGCTGCGAGGGTCTCCACATTTGCACCAGAGTTCACAGAATTGAGGCAAACGCGAACATTTCCGTGCTGTTGGAGGCAGCTGATTATATTTATAAAAGGAAACGCTAGTGTTATATTCCTCAGTGTCCTTTCATGCAGACAGATTAACTAATATTATATTAGCAGACGTCTTGGCTCCTGTTCCATCTGATTTCACTCCATTTTACACTTGTCACTGATGCGTAATCGGAAACATGGGGAGGAGGCGGGCTCCTCGCAGGCAGGTAATAAACACCTGCCATCCTTTGATTAATGGCCTCGCAGTAATGATGGGCTGGAAGATAGTGATAAAAGCGAATGGGAGGGAAATTGGGGGGGGGGGGAGAGAAGGTGTGAGCATGTCTCTTTCTAACACCTGCTGAGCTTGATTAAAGAGTTTTATTAATACCATACGCTCCATTTGCCCCCATTTAAAAGGGGCAGAGCCTGTTCACTGGTTCCAGCCTCCGCACCTTTCAGAAGCGTCGAGAGACCATCCTTGGAGAGGAGGGCTAAGTTGTGGACTGGGGAGAAGGAGGAACTTTCAAGTAATTCAATTAAGAGGAGCCTTTTGGCAGCCTTTTTCTCTGCTCCCTTCAGACCCCCGTTTGATTCTCCCCAAAGTTCAGCTCACCTCATCCTCCCTCTAAGGAGCTCAGGACGCATGGGCGCAAGATATAGGCCATAACATACAATTTGAGGACTGGATAAAATTGTGGAAAGTAAATTTGAAATTTACAAATTGTATATTATTGAGAGAGAAAATGATGTACAGATGGTATTTATCACCAGTTAAACTGGCAAAAATGTATAAAAATGGAAAGAAAGAGTGTTGGAGATGTGAAACTGAAGGTACGTTTTATCATATGCGGTGGGATTGTAAAAAGGTAAAGGCCTATTGGGAAATGATATATAATGAATTAAAGAAAATGTTGAAAAAACTTTTGTAAAAAAAACCAGAAGCTTTTCTATTAGATATTTTAGGTCAAGACATACCAAAAGAAAAGAGGACTTTATGCCACTACAGCAGCAAGAATGTTGACTGTACAAAACTGGAAGACTGGAGAAATACTGACTAAAGAAGAATGGCAAGGGAAGTTGATGAATTATGCAGAATTGGCAAAAATGACAGACAGACAAAAAAGACAACAGCAACTTTGAAATCTTGCCATTAAGTCTATCAACTTTCTTTGTTTCTGCCAAATGTTAAGAATTTGAAATGTATGTAATGAATGAAAAATAAAAATAAATAAATTTTATATAACAAGAAGCCGAAAGCACCAGCCTGAAGATGACGAGTGAGACCTCGTCGAAACGTCGCCTAGACACCCCAACTTTTACACGGGAAGACACCCGAGGACACCAAAACCTGCATTCCTGTACCCGTGAAAATCTACGAAAGCATATATATATATATATATATATATTGCTAGGCAGAATAGAGACCCTGATACTGTATAGTACTAAGCCTGATATCGTGCTGGGCAGGGCCACATTTAGGATTGATGAGGCCCTAAGCTACTGAAGGTAATGGGGCCTTTTATATGTCCAGCTGTCCTTTGTCAACAACAAAGTTGAATATATGCTATATGGTCATTTATGGACCTAATAGGTATCTAAAGCCATTTGCACATCACAAAATATGTATTTTATCAAAGTAATAGTTGAACTGAAATACAGTTAAGTATATTAATAATGAAGGGGTACAGTTAGGGTTACCCCAGAAAGCCCTAAAAACTGTTTGTGAATTCCCCCCCCAGCCAGGCCTCGGCGTACGCATTTTTAAAACTGCATATTCCTCTAAGACAAAAAGCATGAGCTAAGCAGTCCTCTCTGTAACAAAAACGCTGTAACAAACCCATAGCTGAGAACAGAAAAGCTTTCGCTTCCCAGATCCAAATAACCTTGTCCTGGTACATTGACTTGCAACATACTTCCGGGAACAGAGCCAGAGAACGAAAAGCAACATTTCTATGTAAGAACCTGTGAAGGGGGAGAGGAAAAAAGGGGTTTGAAAAAAGGATAAAACCTGCTTGTAAAATGTTTTCGGCGCGACCTGTCTTTTGTGAACTGAATCACACAGGTGCCTTCTGCCCCCCCCCCCCCGGATGGCAGAATAAAACGCTCTTTCTCTGGATTAACCCCTTGGTGTCGTTTGGCTCCTTTTGTCTCTGCTCGGGTGCAACAATTATTCCTACCCATGGATTAATAAGGCTACATATTTCTGGTGCGTTGGCCGGGAATAAGCACGTTCCCCCAGATCGAGGGACAAAGAGGTCCAGGGCGTCACTGCAAGGCGAGCAGCTCGGGATACCGGGTCAGCAGTTCCAGTGCACATCCTGCCAACTTCGTGGGAGGGACTGGCCACCCGTTCCTGAGTGGACACGCGACAAAGTGACGGAGAGAAAGAGCAACGGCCGTGCAGAAAGAAGGTACCTCGAGGAACAAGGTAAGCTCCACAGGGTATAGGTGGGAGCAAGCTCCACAAGGATAGGTGCGAGCAAAAAGAGAGCCTGATCAGCTCCGCCAGCAGGGTAGAAGAAGTGCCACTGGTTTTGGTGTCGCCCAGAAAAAGCAGCAAAGGGTGCTGCTAGGGCCCCGGTCGAAGTCTAAGCGCTGCCGGTTATGGTTGGTTGTTGGTTTTGTGCCCAGAAGAAGCAGTAAAAAAAAGGTGCTCTTGGGCCCCGGTCGAAGTTGTGAAGCACTGCCGGTTGTGGTTTTAGTTTTTGGGGAAAAAGGGGATTGGGGGAGGTGCATGGGTTTTTCTGAATGTTCGTGTGGGGACACTCCAGCGAATGTTTTGAGTGTGTGAGACGTTGAAAGCAACGTCTGGCCTGTGACTGAGTGAAACAAATAACGTTAGGAGGGCTGAGTGTCCCAGTGTCCCCAGGATCCCAGAGTCATGGGAAATAAAAGCAGTAAAACAATTCTTGAGACACCACTACAGAGCTTTCTGGAAAACTGTAAAAGTGCCACGAAAGCAGAAGAGTGGGGATGTAAACTCAAAAAAAAAAAAGCAGACTCCAACATTTATGTGAAGTTGACTGGCCTTCGTATTTACCAGAATGGCCTACTGGAGGATCCTTTGATCCAAACTTGGTCAACATTTTATGGAGTAACATTTTCAAGGCCTACACAGATCAGATTCCCTATATTTCTATCTGGAAAGCCAATGTGGATCAAAATCCCTCATGGCTTCGGAAAAATAGAATTGTGACTGCCCAAGTCAAACTGTGTTCGGTACAATTACAAGTTAAAAAGCCACCAGTTTTGCCAGTCCTAGAAGAGGAGATAATTATCCCCCCACCGCCATATGCAGCAACTGCACCAGGGCTAAATGAGGTTCCCCCTACCCAACTCCCAAGAAAAGAGACTGAGGGAGAAAAGAAAGAGAAAAGGAAAGTGAGGAAGAAGGTGGTTTGGAGAATGAAGAATTCAGAAGGTGAAGTGGACAAGCAGTCCAAAAGAGTGTTTCAGTATGTAGAACCATGTGGCTTCTTGAGTTCTAGAAGCAGCACAATGCAAGGATGTGAATTGGCAGACAGAAAGAAACAGAGCAGAAGGCTTTGAGAGCCGTATGGGACAGAACTGTTAAAAAAGAGACAATTAAACCCAATACTGACCATTGAGGAAATCCACAAGATACATGCCCTCAGGGCAGCGGACAATACTGATGTTGCAATTGAGGCAGCTAAACCTCCACTTTGATGGTCCCGCCCCACCGAGTGTACGACCCCCTGGAGTCATCCGACGCCCAGGACCACAGACCTCCAAGCACCTTAAATCAGAATCCTTCTTTCGAAGAGGACCCAGCCAAAATAATTAGGGGTTTGTCTTCAAACAGCCAGCAGCCAGAAAGCCAAAAACGCAATCCTGGAGCGAGCGAGGGTGTCCATGGGAGGGGCAGAAGAATGCCTAGGGAAGAAACCAGTGCACCATCTGCAGGCAAGAGGGTCATTGGGAAATGGAATGCCCACAGGCCCCACGCCCGACACACCCCACCCCCACAGGCTGGGAACAATAAGATTTCTCAAAAATTATTTCTTCTCATCTCTGTTCTTGCTCAAAGACTGTTGTAGCAAAAAAAGCAACTGAACAGACTGTTTTTTTTTAAAAAATCATGCAAGTAACAGGACATCAGCTCCGCCCCCCCCCCCTTGTGCCAGGCGCTTGGAGGTAGCTTCAGAGCGTTATCTCTTGGCTGCTATCCCTAGAGGAAAATGCTGCATTCTCGCCAACCAGCTACCCTGAACCTCACACTTTCTGGATTTACAGTTCAGCCACATAAACCCAGAAGGCCAAGAGTTACCCACCCCCCTGCCCCAAGCACTAACCTGGAAGAGTGATTTCTTAAAAGCAAGTGAATGCTTTCTGTGAACTTTGTCAAGTTTTTCTTTTTAAGGTGCAATTTTACTCTGAAAGGAGCTGCGGCATAGGAATTGATATTTTGAGGAATTTGAAACTTTGCCAGAAGCAAGGAGCGCATTGTTCTTTCTACAGACACTGGCAAATGAACTGAAATTTGCAACATGGCTTAAAGCTCTGAAACTTAGTGCACAGAGAAAAAGACTTTTAAAAATCTCAGCTGGCAAAACTTAACCCAAGGAACAAAACTGTTAACCCCTTGCGAAGTTTCCTGCCAAGCATACCCTTTTGAGTTAATATACCTTGTGTGTGAATGTTATCTATCAATTTGTTCTACGCAGTCGCTGCCGTGTCTGTTTTTCTCTTCTCTTGACAGGTAAACTGGCCAGAGGCTGTCCTGTTTATCTACAGCTGTTAAAGTCACCGGCATCTGTGACACCTGATCTACACCGCCCACCAGAGGACCCAGACGCCCAGACATCGCTCCAGCATTGTTGGAAGAGACCCTAGATGCCCAACGTCCACCAGACGACCCGACGCCCACCAGACTACAGCCCTGCTCACGTCACTCCGGACGCTGACGCTTGGCACGGCTCCAGAACCAGCGTGGATTGAAAGAGCACATTTTCACATTTTCTTTTCTTTCCTTTTGCATAACTGAACTTTATTGAAGGTACCTGGGCCTGGTTTGCTTTACGCCACCCCTGCAGAGGAGGGTGTCAAGTGGGTCTTTTCTTTCAGCGTAATTACACCCCAGCCCACTCTCTAGCACTTGCCTAAGCCCCTCCCCGTGCATACAATGGCTCAAATACGACTGTGGGTCCCCGTGCTGGTATTTCTGCTGCCTTTGACCTTTGAAATGCCAATACCACTCACAGTGACCAGACAACTGCTGCAATCGTGGAGGGCCCACCACACATATAATAAGTGGATTCAGGTTGCTGAGATGGTTGCATTCTCTGCAAATCAGACCAATTGTGCCGTCTGCACTCTGGCCCCTGTAGACGCTCTGGGAGGAATGCCACTCCTCCCTGTGCCTTGGAATGAATCCTTGGTTACAACTCCACTTGTTGCCTTCCAGCCTCTGGGCAACCATTCTTCTTTATGGAATCATTCCGTCCCTTTCCAGGTTCACAGGATCACTGGCTGCCTTTGTGTCAACAAATCAAATGACGCAAGTGACGCTCAGACCTATGTGGGCACTTCCCACTGTGATCGTACCTTCCCAGCCCCAACTAACATGTTTGAGTCCGAGACAGGAACCTTTTCTGGTTCCAATTTGACTACATGCCTGGCCCGCTTGCTGACAGGCACCATATCTGCCCATGGTCAGGACGTTTACTGGGTGTGTGGCAGGAAGGCCTATCATGCCCTCCCAAGAGGATGGTATGGGGTCTGCTTTCCAGCCTACTTAATACCCCCCATGTGGATTCCTGACCAGATTCCCTCTGCACCCCCTAGAAGGAGGCGTTCAGCTGACCTGGCAACACTTGCAGGTGGCAGCTCCCAGAATTGGGGCAAAAATCAGTGGCCTCCGGAAAGGATACTGGCCCATTATGCTCCAGCCTCATGGAATCGGCGAGAGAAAATCTCTGGGGCAAGGGGGCCGATCTATAACTTGAACCGCGTAATCAGACTCCAGGCAGTGGTAGAGATTGTTGCTAACACGACAGCCACAGCCCTTAGGCTAATTGCCACGCAATTGGATGAGACACGCAATGCATTTCTCTCAGTCCGATTAGCGTTGGACTTTCTCCTGGCGCAACATGGCGGCTTTTGTAAGTGTTAAATCTCACAGGTGGGGCCTGTTGCTTTAACATCTCTGATCATGGTGAGGCCATTCGCAATTTGGCAGCAGGACTTGAAACAGTGGCCCATATTCCTACCCAAACCTGGGAGGGATGGGACATGTCATGGCTTGACTGGTTGCCAAACCTAGGATGGGTAAAAGGCCTGTTTTTGCTGCTGCTAGGCCCACTTTTCATTTTGCTAATTTTTTGCTTTTCTGTACCTTGCTTGCTGCAAAGCTTGCATACAATGACACGCAATATGATTTCTCGCATGCTTCGCCCCCAGATTATAGCTCTGACCTGAGAATATCAGCCTGTGCCTTCCTGGGACGAGCCTTTTAAAGAAAAAGGCTGTCCAAATTTGAGAGGTATGGAATGAAGGGGTACAGTTAGGGTTACCCCAGAAAGCCCTAAAAACTGTTTGTGAATTCCCCCCCCCCAGCCAGGCCTCGGCGTACGCATTTTTAAAACTGCATATTCCTCTAAGACAAAAAGCATGAGCTAAGCAGTCCTCTCTGTAACACAAACGCTGTAACAAACCCATAGCTGAGAACAGAAAAGCTTTCGCTTCCCAGATCCAAATAACCTTGTCCTGGTACATTGACTTGCAACATACTTCCGGGAACAGAGCCAGAGAACGAAAAGCAACATTTCTATGTAAGAACCTGTGAAGGGGGAGAGGAAAAAAGGGGTTTGAAAAAAGGATAAAACCTGCTTGTAAAATGTTTTCGGCGCGACCTGTCTTTTGTGAACTGAATCACACAGGTGCCTTCTGCCCCCCCCGGATGGCAGAATAAAACGCTCTTTCTCTGGATTAACCCCTTGGTGTCGTTTGGCTCCTTTTGTCTCTGCTCGGGTGCAACAATTATTCCTACCCATGGATTAATAAGGCTACAATAAAAAAGGTAAAGGACCCCTGACAGTTAAGTCCAGTTGCGAACAGTGAAATACAATTAAGAAGAAGTATATTAATAGTGAAATAATTATTAAGCTCTACCTTAAAATGATTTTTTATATTTCAGGGAGCAGGCTAGCAGGCGGGGCCCATGACTTACATCACAGGAGCCTACACAACACAAAACACTGTTGCTCTATGTAGGTTTTATATTATTGGTTTTTTATCTTATATTTTGGAAATGTACATCCAGGGTTTTTTTCCTTTAAATTTTTTTGGGGGTCTCCAAGAGAGTGGGGCCCTAAGCTATAGCTTGTTTAGCTTACATCCGGCACTGGGGTTGGGTCTCTATTTTGCCTGGCATGAGGCCTTAAACCTGCGTAACAAAAGCAACAGCAAAGCCACGTGGATCTTATCGTTTGCTGATTGGAATCTCCTGGTGGTTATGCAGGGTCTGTCTCTAGCAAGAGGAAGAGGGCTTGCACCTTGCAGATTGTGCAGGCAGAAAGCAGCTTTTACTGCAAAGTAAAACCCTTTACTCTGCAACGCCAGCTGAGACGCAGCCGAGGCTCATGCCTTTGCAGATTGGGCAGGCAGGAAACTTACTTTGCAGTAAAGTGTTGCTTTCCGGCCTGCCGCGTCTGCAAGGCCCATCTGCGCAGTGCATTCTTGATATATTAGGTAAAGGACCTAATGGTCAGATAGGTCCAGTCATGGCCGACTCTTGGGTTGCGGCGCTCATCTCGCTTTATTGGCCGGAGGGTAGCCGGCGTATAGCTTCCGGGTCATGTGGCCAGCATGACTAAGCTGCTTCTGGCGAACCAGAGCAGCGCACGGAAACGCCGTTTACCTTCCCGCCAGAGTGGTACCTATTTATCTACTTGCACTTTGACATGCTTTTGAACTGCTAGGTTGGCAGGAGCAGGGACGAGCAACGGGAGCTCACCCCGTCGCAAGTCCTAGGCTCTGTGGTTTAACCCACAGCGCCACCCGCATCCCTTCTTGATATATTACAGGGTGCAGAAATATGAAACCTGTATCGCGGTCTGGAGTTCATATTGCTAAGAGGCAAAATGTCAATATATTGCACACCCCTGATATGCACATTGCAGTGACTAAGGAAACAGAACTTTTTAATTATCGATAATTACCAGTTCAGCGAATGAAGCCCTTCTGAACATCCCATCCCCAAAGCTCTGTACCGGCCACCTTGAAAACAGCCTCATTTTTATCGCCGTAACTGACGGAGGTGGAAGCAGGAATGCTTTGCTGTAATAATTTAAAATGTCTGTTTCGTTCATCACTGTAATAAATACATGGCATTTAGTGATTAACTGCATCCTAGCAGGATACAGAACACCCAGGATCATTACTATCTGTCTGTCTTTATGTATGATCTATTTGATTTATTGCGTTTTGTTCTCATATAGATTGAGGAAACGGAAGTGTGGGGGGATGTTTTTTGAAGGGAGGGATTTAAAAATCCATAGATGCATAAATACCAGGAGGTTGTATCCAATAAAGTCCACCCTGTTGATGCAGGAATTTCTTTTTCTTGTGCAGTCAACCTTATCTTTCTTCCTGACTTCCCAAAGACCTCCCTGCGCCCTCCCCAAATTTGCAGGAACCCCCAGAACACATTTGAGGGGAGTATGTAAGGCTGGTTCCCACAGTGGGTAGTGCCTGGGAGAGGCTGTGGAATTGCCTGTGGGGGTGCTAAGAGGCAAGCGGGCAGCAGAAGGTGTTTAATAATAATAATAATAATAATAATAATAATACCGTATTTTTTGCTCCATAAGACGCACTTTTTTCCTCCTAAAAAGTAAGGGGAAATGTCTGTGCATCTTATGAAGTAAATGCGTGGTCCCTGGAGCCAAATTGCCCAGGGGCAAAAAGCAGATCTTGCCTTTTTTTTTTCTTTTCTTTTTTTAGAAAGAGGGAAGGGGGTGTTGAAACAAAGCCGTTGAGCAGCTGATCGGCAAGCGATCGGGAGGGAGATAAGGGACTCTAGAGATAAAAGAGGCTGCCTGGGAGGGGGGAGGTAAAAGCACATGGATCCTCAGGATTTTTGCATTGGGTCACCTTAAATTCACCATCACATAGTATGTCCATGGCTACAGCCTGCATAAAAAAACATATACATCCACGGTTTCGTGGGGCCACAATGGCGCAAAAACGTGGTTACAAAGCACAGATCCACATAGATGCTCAGGATTTTTGCATTGGGCTACCCCAAGCTCACCGTCAAATCACAAATCATGTCTGTGGCCACAAAAATCATACATCCACTGTTTCGTTCAGAATATTTTTTTTTCTTGTTTTCCTCCTCTAAAAACTAGGTGCGTCTTATGGCCAGGTGCGTCTTATGGAGTGAAAAATACGGCAATAATAATAATAATAAATTGGTGCCCTGCCCATCAGACTGGGTTGCTCCATGACAAAGAGTGGTCAGAGAGAGAAGACGGGTGGGGGGGGAGGTTTGGAAGCTGAAGAGGTTAACAGGGCTTAGTGAGCGGGGGAGAGTCTGTGGCAGAGAGAAGTCCAGAATCAGAGGCAGAAGCTGAAGCAGGAGAGGAGGGAGACCAAGAGGCAGAGATGACTCAGGCTGGGGAAGAGTCACGGATGTCTCCCCCTCCTGCTGCAGCAAGCTCCCTTCCTCCCTTGTCTCCCAGAACCAGAAGAGGCATGAAAAGGGCATAGGAGCGGTAGGTTGCATGTAGGTTCAGTCTCCGATTGCTTGGGAAACCCCTGGAGAAAAGGGGACTTAAGATGGCTGTGAGGAGGTGGGGACTTTCAGTCTGGCAACTGCGTTTCATGAAGTAAGAGCACTGGGGATGAGATGCTCTCCTCATTAGGCCTGACACTCAACCAAGTCTGTGTAGGTCACGTTTTCGTTAATAAAAAGCTAATTCCAACTTTGAAATGTCAATGGCAACAGAGTCCAGGGCTTTTTCCCAGCCGGAATTTGTAGGAACTCAGTTCTGGCACTTCTCAGGTGAGCGCCATTGCCATTACAAGAGGAAAAAGGTGAGGTCCGGCACTTCTTCTTCTACAAAAATAGCACTCACAGTGGACTCAGCTACATTAGTAAAGAAACCAGCGATTTGAACGCACTATAAACATACAACACCAGTTGGTTGCCAGAGAGTAGAAAATTTTAAAACACGATTTTCCATAGGGATTTTTTTCCCTTTTGCTACAGCGATCTAATTTCTGGCTTATTTATAGCAAAAACACTCCCCCCCCCCCCCATGTTTAGATCCCACCCTGTGTCTCATACTGAACATAAACAAACTGTGAAAAAACCTCTTTATGAATTGACAAGTGCAGACACTATATGTACTTTTTCTTCTTTGTTTTGGAGGACAAGTAAATCTTTAATAAAAACTCATAAAAACAAAACTCCAACTTTGAACTGTGTGAATAACTGACCGGCACGCTTCTCTAACACCCAGGGCAAAACCCCCCAACAAACCCACACTTGGACACAGAAGCTTTTAAGCGCAAACCTGTACTTGGAAACAGCCGGGCAAAACGTGAATAAGCCCTAAGAATAAAAAGAGCCCAGTGTCCAAACTGGCTGGGTATTTGACCCAAGACCTTTCTGTTCAAAGGTGGCACTCCCGGCATGGCAAAACGCCAGTTGAGGTCTCGCCCCAGCTTCCCTTTCTACCACGATTTATTCTGTTTGTTCCACGGTTCCTCGGCACACGTCTGAGACGTTTTACTTTCGTCCCACTCTTAAGTGCGGAATCAGAACAAACATCAACCAGCAGAAGACCTGATTAAATTTGTCCTGGTTCATAGAATCAGAGAAACGTATTGTTGGAAGGGACCACAGGGGTCATCTAGTCCAACCCCCCACAATGAATGCAGGAATCTTTCGCCCAATGGGGGGCTTGAACTCAAAACTTTGAGATGAAGAGGCCCTGGCTCCTAGGCATCCAGACATTTTTGTCAGAGAACTGCCATCGGCTCAGGGGCGAGGGGGGGGGAAGGCGGATGGATTACAGAGAGCCCCCAAAGATCATGGGAAGCAGCACTTCCTCAGCGGAGGAGAGTAACCACGCCTCCAGTGGAGAGGAGCTTCAGGGCTCGGAGGATGCAAGGCGGTGCCAGGACAACTTGCCTGAGCAAAGCAGGGAGGAGGGAGGTTCCCCGTTACCCAAGCCTTCTTTGCGCAGTAGGCTTTCGCGCAGAGAGGGGAGGTGTAGGCTGGGGGTCAAGAGACTACTCTGCTGGGGAAGATTTAAGGACCAC